CTGCAGGCGCATATAATGATGTCATCTTGAAGACTGCATGTCGTCATTGGACTTGGACACCACAGATCCTCTTCAATGAAAATAAAGCTTTATCAAGGTTAGGTCTTTGTTATGTGACAAATTAAATGTGAAGGTAACTTCAAATGGTGTATCAAGACACAGCTAATGATAGGCAGCAGGTAGCCTAGTGGTTAAGAGCGTTGGGCCAGTAACCGAAAGGTCACTGGTTTGAATCCCCAAGCAGACTAGGTGAAAAATTCTGGCACTTAACCCTGGTTGCTCTGGATAAGTACAGTGGGGGAAAAAAGTATTTAGTCAGCCACCAATTGTGCAAGTTCTCCCACTTAAAAAGATGAGAGAGGCCTGTAATTTTCATCATAGGTACACGGCAACTATGACAGACAAATTGAGGAAAAAAAATCCAGAAAATCACATTGTAGGATTTTTAATGAATTTATTTGCAAATTATGGTGGAAAATAAGTATTTGGTCATTAACAAAAGTTTCTCAATACTTTGTTATATACCCTTTGTTGGCAATGACACAGGTCAAACGTTTTCTGTAAGTCTTCACAAGGTTTTCACACACTGTTGCTGGTATTTTGGCCCATTCCTCCATGCAGATCTCCTCTAGAGCAGTGATGTTTTGGGGCTGTCGCTGGGCAACACGGACTTTCAACTCCCTCCAAAGATTTTCTATGGGGTTGAGATCTGGAGACTGGCTAGGCCACTCCAGGACCTTGAAATGCTTCTTACGAAGCCACTCCTTCGTTGCCCGGGCGGTGTGTTTGGGATCATTGTCATGCTGAAAGACCCAGCCACGTTTCATCTTCAATGCCCTTGCTGATGGAAGGAGGTTTTCACTCAAAATCTCACGATACATGACCCCATTCATTCTTTCTTTACACGGATGAGTCGTCCTGGTCCCTTTGCAGAAAAACAGCCCCAAAGCATGATGTTTCCACCCCCATGATTCAAAGTAGGTATGGTGTTCTTTGGATGCAACTCAGCATTCTTTGTCCTCCAAACACGACGAGTTGAGTTTTTACCAAAAAGTTCTATTTTGGTTTCATCTGACCATATGACCTTCTCCCAATCCTCTTCTGGATCATCCAAATGCACTCTAGCAAACTTCAGACGGGCCTGGACATGTACTGGCTTAAGCAGGGGGACACGTCTGGCACTGCAGGATTTGAGTCCCTGGCGGCGTAGTGTGTTACTGATGGTAGGCTTTGTTACTTTGATCCCAGCTCTCTGCAGGTCATTCACTAGGTCCCCCTGTGTGGTTCTGGGATTTTTGCTCACCGTTCTTGTGATCATTTTGACCCCACGGGGAGAGATCTTGCGTGGAGCCGCAGATCGAGGGAGATTATCAGTGGTCTTGTATGTCTTCCATTTCCTAATAATTGCTCCCACAGTTGATTTCTTCAAACCAAGCTGCTTACTTATTGCAGATTCAGTCTTCCCAGCCTGGTGCAGGTCTACAATTTTGTTTCTGGTGTCGTTGACAGCTCTTTGGTCTTGGCCATAGTGGAGTTTGGAGTGTGACTGTTTGAGGTTGTGGACAGGTGTCTTTTATACTGATAACAAGTTCAAACAGGTGCCATTAATACAGGTAACGAGTGGAGGACAGAGGAGCCTCTTAAAGAAGAAGTTACAGGTCTGTGAGAGCCAGAAATCTGGCTTGTTTGTAGGTGACCAAATACTTATTTTCCACCATAATTTGCAAATAAATTCATTAAAAATCCTACAATGTGATTTTCTGGATTTTTTTCTCTCTCAATTTGTCTGTCATAGTTGACGTGTACCTATGATGAAAATTACAGGCCTCTCTCATCTTTTTAAGTGGGAGAACTTGCACAATTGGTGGCTGACTAAATACTTTTTTTCCCCACTGTATGTCTACTGAAATATGATATTGCATGAAAACGATGTCAGCCATGATTTGCACAGACAAAAGTGTATGACATTTGACTTTATTCACTACTCCCCAAAAATAGTTCTCAACTGTAGTTATAACATCCTCCTCATACTTGTGTTCAATTTTGACACATTATTCTGCTTTTTCTTGTAGACATGTAATTACTAGTAGGCGTTTTGACACTTTCCCATTGAGCTGTGAATTCCTCTCCCGCTCTCTAGATCCTATTTTTTGTTCTCTGTGTGTCTGGCGACATTTGTTGCCCACGGGCTGAGAGGAGGGGAGCAGAGGGTGTGTGAATGTTCTTGTAAATGCCATCGCGGAAGTGAGTCACCATCACTGGAAGAACACAGCAACACAGGAGGCGTCTGGCTGCTGCCATTGTTTGTGTTGCCGTGACAACATCTCTTCACAGTTTGTGCTTGTGTGAATCTGTGTGGTAAGACTCACTCATCTTGAACAAATGGAGGGACACTTTACCATTAAGACTGAGATCTGTGATAAAATACACCCCTGTATCTGTTGGGCTTGCTGTGCTGCTGCAACCATGACTCAGCAGGCATGACTCATGCATTTGCATTACACATATAGCATTACACATATAGCAGGAACCTACAATAAGCAGCCACAGCAGCAGCTATCAGAGCAGATGAAAACTGCATCTACCGTACAGATCTGAAAACATTGAAAGGTTAGGGACGAATGTAGGGTTAGTGATATGGGACCAGAGGACTCACCGACGCAAAGCATTGAAGGGGAAGTTCCCCCATTTTTACATGTGGCCTTATTTTCACTCTTTCTGTGCTTGTAGTTGATCCCCCAAACTATTTTTGGATATTTTGTTTTGTGAAGAGAAAATTGGTTGTCACATTTTGCGGAGTCATCGCTTGGCATTGACTACAATGCATTATGAAAATGTGTCTAAAGCATGTTATAAAATGCTCCAAAATAATTCATATTAAATCAGAATCTCATTCTGGATATTGTCTCAGCATTTATTTATTTTTATCGCTGTGCTATTTATAAATCCTTGTTTGAATGATGTAGTTTAAAACAACAAAAATATGCAAATATGGATTTATGGGAGAGTGGAACATAAATAAATAAAAACATTATCCACAATGACATTCTGATGTAATAACATATGGTTTGGAGTGTTTCAGCGTTTTATATGACATGCCTAGACATTATCATAATGCATTGTAGTCTATGGCAAGTGACGACAAAATACACAAAAAAAAAACATTTGGGATATCAACTTCAGGCACTGAAAGAGTGAAAATAAGGCCACGTAAAAATGGGTGAATTTCCCCTTTAACAAATGTGATTTCATCTGTAAGCTCATATACTGTCATTCTGTAGGCGAATGATGCCATACCCATCTGTAGAAAGGTAAAAGAAAACTGTATTTTCAGTCTTCACAGTATACTATGTTGCTGTATTTGTGTATGTGGGATAGCCAGTTTGATTCTTAGGCCAGGTGGAGAGAAGGCGTAGAATCCAGAATATTCCGGCTATCCACCCCATAGTTTCATTCACATATGGCAGTGTGCATCTCATGTAGCCACACACGACTAGGCTGAACACATTCATAACAAATGTATGTAGCTTTTAGAGGATCCAAACAGGACTTTCACAAACATGAGCATATTTGCACTAAAATAGAAAACAAAACTATTTGTTACATTGTGATATAAAAATATACACTTCCAGAACTCTTGTGACTGATGAAAAGCATTCCCCAGGTAGGAATGACATACAGAGATGTGTGTTCTTCCACTGAAGAAAAAGCTTCATAGAATGAACTTACAAACAATATGCAATAAAACAACTTAAAAGGGGAAAAGAATATAGGATACAAGCACGTTATTCCATCAGTCATTATCTCAATAACCCTCCCTTATAAGCAAAATGAGTCTAGGGATAGCAGGTAGGGATAGAAGTCCCAGTAACCAACACACCTAGGTGCATCTTCATAATCTAAAGTGGCAAACTTCCATCCTCTCTATCATTGTTGCTGACTGGAGTGAGCTGGTAGGACTCTACTGTCTCACACCTTACCTGCGTGGCTACAGTAGATCAGTGCAGATGAAGGAGAGGGAACTAGGGGTGTGAACATTTACACAAAATTGGGATCATTAACTGGGAAAAAAATTTTTGGCCCACAAACTTTAAATCATAGTAGTAGTTGTGATAACTGCACTAACAGGTCACCGATCATCATCATAAAAGGAATAATTAAAATTAAACAAATACCTAACACAACAATGCTGTAACGTTAGTAGGATAGGCATCTTTCAAATGATTAGCCATAGATATAAAGCGCTCCGCACATCACTGTCATTAACAGTTGGAAAAATGGCAGAGTGAGACAGGGTGGGACAACAGTAAGGTGATTAGGGATGTACATCTCTCCTTACAAGCACGATTCGATACGCATCTAGATACATGGGCTACGATACAATACAGGAAGAATACTTTTAGTATCAAACAATTCGGTGCGATTTGATTAGCAGAACGAATTTGATTCGATGCACTAATAATTGTTGCATCAACACATTCATTTGCAATTTTGTCCCCTCACCCATGTCATATGCAGTTACAGGCATAAAATTTGATAGGCTGAAGAGGACGCACCAATTCAGTCACAACAGATGAAGTGTTTTCGAAATAAGGCAGAAAAAATCTGAGTAAAAGACGTTAGTGAACTGGAGATTCGTTTGAAAACGTTTTTCTTACCGATACATTTCATTTGGATCGGTTTGGACTCCCGCGGATCGATGAACTCCATTTGAATCGGGGACCGATGCGTATCGTTGAATTGTTCCATCCCTATAGGTGAGCACCGTCTGGTTGCCATGACCGCGATAGATGGAACTACATTGCCCCCTAGCGTTCATCCGCAGGACCATATCTGCATTGTGAATTCACATGTAATTAATACGATTTTTGTTATAGTTTATTTATATTTTTACACATGTCACATCCCTAGAGGGAACCACATTGGACTAATGAGATACAGCCCTTCCCATTTGCTTCATGCGTCCTTCGCTCGCTCTTCCTGGGGGGGGGGGGGGGGGGGGGGTGTCAGGATCCTCCGGTCATCATTGAGACTTCCTATTTCGTACCTGCATCACTTCTTTCCTCTCCTTCAGGAAGTTCCCGAAGGCCGTGCCCTCCTTGCTCTCCTCAGTCACTGAAAGGGATGATAGGTTGTGTCAACAGGGGAACTTATATAGCCTGTATTTTTGTGCGTGTTATCATATTTTTGTAACATATCTTCACTTTCCACATAAGAATCATTGACAAATCATGATTAAGCTTGTTGTTAGGAATGCAAGGTGATTTGATATTATGGGTTAAGGCAATGATAGGACCTTGAGGCCACTCAAACTCTTAATTATTTTTTAAAAACTCTCCTCACCGTTGTGATCGATGTCATCCGTGTCACTGTCCTCCCCCTCTTCCTCCTCCTCATCAGGGTTACCGCGGTTGAAGATGAGATCACTTCGGCCAGCCACATCAGCTTCCTCTGGAGGACAGGAAGTGACATAATTGTATTATTTATTTCACAGAACACCTGTCTCATGTACCCGATCCAAGCATATTATACACAATATGGCGATCTCTTAGACTCACATACACACACACAATCAAGCACGTAATGGCACACAGGCACACAGACAATGGACACACACCTGTCCGTGAGGTCATCTCCATGGCAACAGCCCCCATGTCCTTCCGTAAATGCTCCATCTGTTCCTGCTGCTTCCTGCTCTGAGCATCGGCCTGGAGGGCATACCAGGACCGTCAGAGAAAGACCGACAGATGTCCCACGCACAGGCAAACATACAGTTGTTGTTCTCAGTATAGTGCACAGACGTAGCATTGGTATTGAAACACTCACCAGTTCTTTATGAAGTCTTTCATATTCAGGACGATAATCCCTGAATAACACAAAACAATTCATTTTACACACAAATATTACAGACAATGGTGTTTGTGTGTTTGCAGAGCAGCCCCCTCACTCACGTCTCGTACTCCTTTGCGGCCTCTGCCACCTGAACAAAGAACTCTTCCAATCCGCTGCCTGTGACTGCAGACACACCCACAACCTGCAAATGAAACACAGACGTGACCAATCAGAGAGGGAACACTCGATAAACCCTCTCTGAATTTTTTTATTTTGTCATTTAGCAGACGCTCTTATCCAGATTACAGTTAGTGAGTGCATACATTTTTCATACTGGCCCCCCGTGGGAAACGAACCCACAACCCTGGCGTTGCAAGCGCCATGCTCTACCAACTGAGCTACAGGGGAACCCCCTGTATATGCACAGAAACACTTCCCCATAGGTTGATGTAAAAGTCAAACACAAAGCTCATGGAACGTTGTCTCACGTACACACACAGATCACAGAAAGCTCACACACAAATAACACTACATACAGTTCTCAGTATTGTGCACTGAAGTAGCATACAGTATTGAAACACACACAAACCCGTAAGTTGGTGTAGAACTCGTCCAGCACCAGGCTCATGGAGCGCGTCAGGTTGCTGACGTAGGACGTCTCCTGGTTCAGAGCGTCCTGGAACACCTCAAAGTCCTGCATCCACTCCACCGCAAAGCTGTGGTCGATTATGTCTGTCTGAAACCACAGACATGTACAGCAATGTACTGAAATCTGTGGTTTGTTATCTCTGTATTATTATCTAAATGAAAAACACATATTTCCTTTGATCATATCAACACTTGAGTGCAGATCTATTGCTTTTCCCCCCTCATTCAGTAATTCACTGTTACCAAGTTAGAGTGGTTTATTTAAAGTGTTCCAATCATTTCATACCTTATTCATGATGACAATGAAGGGCAGCTTGGTTTTGTACAGGATGCTAGGGGGCGGAAAGCACAGTCACAGAGTGAACAAGCAAATCACCACACTGCACTAGATCTTTATTGCCTATATGTAAAATATTCAATTTGTTCGAACCAATCTGTGGTTTTATTTGACCATGGGAAAGTATTTAATGCTCCCCTGTGTCAGACCTGCAGGCGTAGAGCATGTTGGACATGAAGGTGACTGGGTTGACGCTGCGAGACGTGTCCATCACGTAGACCACCACACAGGGGAAGGAAGAGGCCTGGAAACCCATTCACACAGACACCAAACTGATCACAACACCGATAACAATTTGGTTGTATCTAGTCATATAATTTGGCCTACATGTTGTAACACATTACTACTACACACCAGTGTTTCAGTGATGATGGTTCCGGACGCTGACCAGGTGAACACTTCTATCTGTCCAGGAGTGTCAATCAACACATATCTGTAGACATAGGTCAAAGGTTAGGGCGGCAGGTAGCTTAGTGGTTACGAGCGTAGTGCCGGTAACCGAAAGGTCGCTGGTTCTAATCCCCAAGCCGACTAGGTGAAAAATCTGTCGATGTGCCCTTGAGCAAGGCACTTAACCCTAATTGCTCCTGTAAGTCGCTCTGGATAAGAGCGTCTGCTAAACGACTAAAACAAAACAAAACAGGTAGGTACACACCAGAAGAGGGGATGGCAAAACAACAGTACAATGCTGTACCTAACTATGCTTCTTCTATGCTTACCAGGAGAACATCTACTAACTTTCTGAGAATAAAATATACTTACTGGTGATTGTACTGTTTCTTCTCAATGAATTTCATGACCTGAGGAGGCAAAACGGGAGATTTTGATTCATAATGCCCAAATTGTGCGAGTAATAATAATGGTGACAACTATTGGACAGTTGAGGTGTCAAACAAATACACGTCCTGTTACAACAGAAAAAGAGTTGGGCCTACCTGATCAAACCTCGTAGCAAAGAGATTCAAAGAGGTGACGATTCCTCCATTGGGACCTAGGCCATATTGCTTCATCACTTCTTTGTAATTCACTGTGTCACGGATATCTACAAGGGGACAATAAGCAGCGTTCTGTTACTTATTACCATGGTAGCTAGCTAGCTAATAAAATAATGTCGTGGGATATCAACATAATTACAATTCTTAGATTATATCAATAGAACATCAAGGAAAAATACTTTTCTGAACATTGAACAAATGAACGATTAGCTAGAATTATTACAGTATCAACATGATCCAGACACATTAACGTTATGCATGGTGGTCTGGATGATTTCTTACCAATGTTGGCTGGGAAAGGGACTTCGTGCACAGCAGGGTCTAGGTTGATGACATATGGAGGAGACTTCTTGGTGTGAAGATGAGCATTGAGTCGCTGAGAAGAAACAACAACGTCGTCAGATCTAGCTAGGTAACGTTAGCATAGGTAGCTAGCTAAGTTAGAACCCAGATGGCCGTGACTTAGCTAATATATACAGATTCCAAACTGCTTGACTAAAAAGCAAAGGAAAAACTGCTGAATTCCAGAATACAATTGTGCTTAGTTTGGTTGAGCTTGCTTTGTCTCATACACAGTACTGGTAACGTTAGCTAGCTAGCTAACTTACCTAGCTACTGTAGTGATAACCGTTAGTTAGCTAGTTTTGGCTTACCTGCACAAAAGTTGTTTTTCCAGACCCTGCCATGCCAAGCACTATGAGACAAACGGGTTTCTTCTGCAAAGCATTTCCCGAAGTAGTCTCTTGTGCTGGGTCGCTATTGTCGCCTCCTCCATCGTCGCAATCACTCCTTTCTCCTTCTGGACAAGTGCTCCCAGACGCAGTAGCCATGCTGGTTGTTGGTAGGGACTGTTGCTGTAAAGTGGTGGAGTCTGTCGCAAAGGGCCAGCGTTTCTTCTTATTCTTTGATGAGGTTTAACGGCGGTTGGCATCCAATAAATGCTGCATTACCCCACCTACTAGACTGGAGTATAACTCTTATACTTTGCTTTAAAAAATAAATAAAAATACCCTACCATCTAACACTACACTCACAAAAAAAATAATAACAAAAAAAATAATAACTACCATACTCCACTATTTAAATCTATTTATTCCTTATTCAGGCCAACAGCCTGAAAGGATGGGGCACCACCACTTAACACACCCTGTAACTCTTCTGATGTCAAGTCTCGCACACCCAAACACCTTTCTGCAGCTGCCACCACAACCTCTATTTTCTGCGACTTACATTCCATCCCTCTAGTACAGTTGATAACCATTGCTATAAATGCCAAAAATCCAATCTTACTGAAACATACAGTGCTATGAAAAAGTATTTGCCCCCTTTCTAATTTCCTCTACTTTTGCATATTTGTGATACTGAATGTTATCAGATCTTCAACCAAAACCTAATATTAGATAAAGGGAACATAAGTGAACAAATAACACAACAATTACATATTTATTTCATTTATTTAATAAACAAAGTTATGCAACACCCAATTCCCCTGTGTGAAAAAGTAATTGCCCCTTTATACTCAATAACTGGTTGTGCCACCTTTAGCTGAAATGACTCCAACCAAATGCTTCCTGTAGTTGTTGATCAGTCTCTCACGTCGCTGTGGAGGAATTTTGGCCCACTCTTCCATGCAGAACTGCTTTAACTCAGTGACGTGGGGGTTTTCAAGCATGAAATGCTCGTTTCAAGTCCTGCCACAACATCTCAATTGGGATTAAGTTCTCGACTTTGACTAGGCCATTCCAAAACTTCCAATTTGTTGCTTTTTAGCAATTTTCATGTAGACGTGATTGTGTGTTTTGGATCATTGTCTTGCTGCATGACCCAGCTGCGCTTCAGCTTCAGCTCAAAGACGGATGGTCTGACATTCTCCTGTAGAATTCTCTGATACAGAGCAGAATTCATGGTTCCTTCTAAAAAGGCAAGTCGTCCAGGTCCTGAGGCAGCAAAGCATCCCCAAACCATCACACCACCACCACCATGCTTGACCTTTGGTATGATGTTCTTACTGTGGAATGCAGTGTTTGGTTTTTGCTTCCTGACTGATGTCTTGAGATGTTGCTTCAATATATCCACATAATTTTCCTTCCTCATGATGCCATCTATTTTGTGAAGTGCACCAGTCCCTCCTGCAGCAAAGCAACCCCACAGCATGATGCTGCCACCCCCATGCTTCACGGTTGGGATGGTGTTCTTCGGCTTGCAAGCTTTCCCCTTTTTCCTCCAAACATAACGATGGCCATTATGGCCAAATAATTATATTTTTGTTTCATCAGACCAAAGGACATTTCTCCAAAAAGTACGATATTTGTCCCCATGTGCAGTTGCAACCGTAGTCTGGCTTTTTTATGGTGGTTTTGGAGCAGTGGCTTCTTCCTTGCTAAGCGGCCTTTCAGGTTATGTCAATATAGAACTCGTTTTACTGTGGATATAGGTACTTTTGTATCTGTTTCCTTCAGCATCCTCACAAGGTCCTTTGCTGTTATTCTGGGATTGATTTGCACTTTTCGCACCAAAGTACGTTAATCTCTAGGAGACAGAACGCGTCTCCTTCCTGAGCGGTATGACGGCTGCGTGGTCCCATGGTGTTTATACTTGCGTACTATTGTTTGTACAGATGAACGTGGTACCTTCAGGCATTTGGAAATTGCTCCCAAGGATGAACCAGACTTATCGAGGTCTACCATTTATTTTCTGAGGTCTTGGACTGATTTCTTTTGATTTTCCCATGATGTCAAGCAACGAGGCACTGAGTTTGAAGGTAGGCCTTGAAATACATCCACAGGTACACCTCCAATTGACTCAAATGATGTCAATTAGCCTATCAGAAGCTTATAAAGCCATGACATTGTTTTCTGGAATGTTCCAAGCTGTTTAAAGGCACAGTCAACTTAGTGTATGTAAACTTCTGACCCACTGGAATTGTGATACAGTGAATTATAAGTGGAATAATCTGTCTGTAAACAATTGTTGGAAAAATTACTTGTGTCATGCACAAAGTAGATGTCCTAACCGACTTGCCAAAACTATAGTTTGTTAACAAGAAATTTGTGGAGTGGTTGAAAAACAAGTTTTACTGACTCCAACCTAAGTGTATGTAAACTTCTGACTTCAATTGTATGAAATAACACATATGGAATCATGTAGTAACCAAAAACGTCTTAAACAAATCAAAATATATTTTATATTTGAGATTCTTCAAATAGCCACCCTTTGCCTTGATGACAGCTTTGCTCAATCTTGGCATTCTCTCAACCAGCACCTGGAATGCTTTTCCAACGGTCTTGAGGAGTTCCGACATATGCTGAGCACTTGTTGGCTGCTTTTCCTTCAGTCTGCCGTCTGACTCATCCCAAACCATCTCAATTGGGTTGAGGTCGGGGGATTGTGGAGGCCAGGTCATCTGATGCAGCAGTCCATCACTCTCCTTCTTGGTGAAATAGCCCTTACACAGCCTGGAGGTGGGTTGGGTCATTGTCCTGTTGAAAAACAAATGATAGTCCCACTAAGCCCAAACCAGATGGGATGGAGTATCGCTGCAGAATGCTGTGGTAGCCATGCTGGTTAAGTGTGGCTTGAATTCTAAATAAATCACAGACAGTGTCACCAGCAAAGCACCCCCACACCATAACACCTCCTCCTCCATGCTTTATGGTGGGAACTACACATGCGGAGATCATCCGTTCACCCACACCGCGTCTCACAAAGACACGGCGGATTGAACCAAAAATGCTCCTGTTTCCTGGCCTAAGCAGGTCTCTTCTTATTATTGGTGTCCTTTAGTAGTGGTTTCTTTGTAGCAAATCGACCATGAAGGCCTGATTCACACAGTCCCCTCTGAACAGTTGATATTGAGATGTGTCTGTGACTTGAACTCTGTGAAGCATTTATTTGTGCTGCAATTTCTGAGGTTGGTAACTCAAATGAACTAATCCTCTGCAGCAGAGGTAACTCTGGATCTTCCATTCCTGTGGCGGTCCTCATGAGAGCCAGTTTCATCATAGCGCTTGATGGTTTTTGCGACTGCACTTGAAACGTTCAAAGTTCTTGAAATGTTCCGTATTGACTGACCTTCAGTAATGATGGACTGTCGTTTCTCTTTGCTTATTTGAGCTGTTCTTGCCATAATATGGACTTGGTCTTTTACCAAATAGGGCTATCTTCTGTATACCCCCCTACCTTGTCACAACACAACTGATTGGCTCAAACGCATGAAGAAGGAAAACATTCCACAAATGAACTTTTAAGAAGGCACACCTGTTAATTGAAATGCATTCCAGGTGACTACCTCATGAAGCTGGTTGGGAGAATGCCAAGAGAGTGCAAAGCTGTCATCAAGGCAAAGGGGGGCTACTTGAAGAATCTCAAATATAAAATATATTTTGTTTTTAAAAATGTTGGTTACTATATGATGTGTTATTTCATAGTTTTGATCTCTTCACTATTATTCTACAATGTAAAAAATTGTACAAATAAAGAAAAACCCTTTTATGAGTAGGTGTGGCCAAACTTTTGACTGGTAGTGTATGTGTGGCAACATCCAAACTTTTTCCAACAGATATTATCAATAAAACCGTTCCAATAAGTCATGACATAAGGTATATAGCTCTATTGTTGTTGAATGGACCAAAATAAAAACAAATCTTTCCTACTGATGAGTCAACAGGGTTAATCCTAGGTATGTTCTGAGGGTCTTGAGACGTTCCTGAATAACAAAGCAATACCTGAGGGAATGGCATCTAAAACAATTGCAAAATCTTTAGGTGTTACAGGGATCTTGTAAAGTGATAAGAATTCCTCATAATTAAGTAAAAGACCCTCTGCATTTACAATTTGGCTCACCAATAAGATATTATTTCGGAACCAATATTCTAAAAACAAAGAAGTATTTTTATTTGTCCCGATTATTCCATATATAATATCTGTGTGGAGAAAAATGATGCTTATAAATTAAGGACAATGACAAGGAAACCTGCCGATGAAAAGCAGAGAGTTTCACTGGAACTTTGTCAATATTATAATTGCAAACCAACATGAAGTCAAGGCCACCAAAAGTAGAGAAGACATGATGAGGAATAAAATTCCACATAGAAGTGGGTCTGCTTAGGAATTGTTTTATCCAATTGATCTTAAAAGTATTATTTAAGGTAATAAAGTCCAGAAAATTCAGCCCACCATACCCATAAGTGTTCATTACAACAGTTTTCCTAATGTAATGGGTACGGTTTCTCCACAGAAAGGTGAAAAGCATCTGGTCTATCTCTTTGCTTATTTTACCATCAAGATATAAAGATAGAGGGGCAGATGTTATCCTAGAGATACCCTCGGCCTTGGTTATTAGGACTCCTCCTTTTAAAGATAAGTCCCTCTGTAGCCATTGATTTAGCTTCTTCTGGGTTTGTTTAATAAGAGGGTTAAAATGTAGTAAGTACTTCTTTCACTGGAATACCATAATATGAGGGTGTCACACAATCTTTGACAGCCATGAGTTCACATGTATTAATGTTAAGACATAGACCAGATGCTTTGGAAAAGGATTCTATCACATTGATCGATATGGGAATCTGACTAGCGTCTTTCAGAAAAAGTGTAGTATCGTCAGCCAGCTGGCTTATAATAATGTCTTTATCAGCTATGGAAATACCTTGTACAGGACTATTATTTAAAGAATTTGTAAGAAGTTGGGTGATTAATATAAACAGATATGGTGAGATAGGACAACCTTGCCTAATTCCCCCCTTTAACTCAAATCTAGGTGAGGTGCCATGTTTCAGTTTGATAGAGCTGTTACCATTCATATAGTCTTAATAGCCTTACAGAAAAAATCCCAGAAGCCACATTTCTCAAGGGAGTGGAAGAGGAACTGATGC